GCAGATATGTTGGCAGCGGCAGTTTTCTTTATATTGAGTTATCACAAAGCCCTGTCCATCTTCTTCATTTCCCTCTGTCGCCTCTTACGATACTCACAGCACAGTCCACTATAGGTTTTCTCGCCGCCATTACACGTTCAATCCTTATTACTGGCTGTCATAACAATATTATATTCGAAACGATAATCTAACAAAATATAGAAATAATAAATATGGTACCACGAACGCTCCTCCTATCGCTTCGTATTTGCCGAACGTGGAGTCAATTCGAAATCAAAATTATTTGGGGTATACACAGTACTTTTAGTAAGATATTTTAATACTGTAAGCAAGTTTATTTAATAATATATTTTTTATTAAAAGTAATTTTTTATGGTTTTCTTCGGGTTACGACCATTCCTGTGACAGGCGACCGCAGGGCTATTCACTTCTATATCAGACCATTTTAGTGGCGCCATTTTAACGTGCGATCCGCTCAGTCCTTACTAAGTAATATATAAGTTCAATGGTGCTAACTCTTCTCTGCCTAGGAGTCAGTCTAGTTAGGTACCATCCTCTTCCCTATTTCTCCCGCCAAATAACACAGTAGCTGCACTGCTGTGTTTCGTTATGATGGGTTGATGGGTATAGAGAGTATAATTACAAGTTTTGAGGCATTTCATCTTAGTCCTCGGAGGTGACAACGCATTTGTAGCTATCTTTATTTTAAGTTTGTTGCAGGTGTCCATGGGCTGCAGAAGCCACTTACTATCATAAACATGGCTCATGACATAAAATAAAACAATTTTTACATTTCCAAGTTTAATAAAACAAAATCGACACTAACAAATTCGCAAAAAAGTATAAAATTGTTATTCAGTTAAAAAAGCTATCTATGTGACAAATTAAATTTATTAAAAACTATAAAATTAACAAATATTAAAAAACAAATTTGAGCTGAGTGATAGATAGTATTGTGTTGCAAACGAAAGTGCGAAACATTATCAAAATAAATATACAATTAATTATACAAACTTTTTTCGGATTTAACTTTAGCTTCGCGAATGATTTATACAGCATATAATATGTTTCTATGGGGTCCGAGATGTTTGACCAAATTCTTAAAATTAGATTTTGAGTAAACGAATAATAATATCAAAAATTATTCAAAAGTGAGATTATAAAACCTTAATTATAATTTAAAAAAAAAAACAAAATGGATGGAATATATCAGTCCAACACGGAATATTTTTCAGTCCTTACGTTAGGATATATAATAGCTAACTAAAAATGAAGATTATATAAATGCTAAATTATTTGTTTATGCCAAACAATTTTTTCTACAAATTCTGGCAAAATCGCCACGTGTACGAGAAACCTCAACAGAATACCAAATTTTGTATACAATATTATATTACTACTTACACAAGTCTGTTCTAAGAAGAATAAATCACACAGTAAAAATTCACTCCTCGTTAATCACTAGAGAAAAATCTGCAGGCTCTTGTTATGTTAAAGATTATAAAAAACTTTTCTTAGAAACTATTGACATTACACTGATCGAGTTTACTTGCATTATTTATAAGAGAGATTTCTAAGAATTATAATTTATATAAAAACCACATCCAGTGTTCACCAAATTAATATGTCAGCAAGATATTACAAATGTTTATATTCACGTAACCGCTCTCTTCACTGAGAATATATACGATTTACATAAGTAAAAAGCTGACATAATATAGCCATTTGATGAAGAGATTTACTATATTAAAGTAATTGTTTTGAGTTTGTTCAATATCTATACCAATATTAATTTATTACGGTTTTATATTGACGAGTCACGATTTTAAACTTTAAAATCTGGATGTGGTATTTAATTTACAACGAATTATCATTCAGTATTTGGTAAAACGTTGCTATAAAATAAATATAATTACACAAAAATATTTAATATTAACTTGAGCCTTTATTGCACATCACAAGCATAGGTTTAGAGTTCAATAATTAAATTAATCACAAATGTAATCAAAGGTATTAAAGTTAATTTCAAATATTTTTAAAACTATTCACAATATTATATTTGATAATTGTAACCAATAAAATGTACGAATTACAGTGCCTATAGAAAATGCATCTTTGTATGAAACAAATAGGTCCATTCAGCTTTAGTGTGTTTAAAGCATTTACATTAGTTGAAGCTTGCTATATTCGTTTACTATTATAATATAAATGTATTTTTTCTTACGCCGTTTTATTTATACATATTATGTAGATATTTACTACTATGAAAATAAAATTTTAGAAAATAGATAAGGATTTTTCATTTAGTAATTTTGACGAAGAAAGTGATGATAAATGAATATTATACAAACTTTGAACACAATAATTTTCGAGATTTTTATTATTCTATTTAAATTCAATGAAATTCATCATTAATCTTATCTATAGTTCAGTGTTCCAAGTCGATTGAAAAAACATCTAATTTTTCATTATATTTTTAAAAGTTTAACGCTAAAATATAAATATTTGGGATGGTCTGGCAAATAGTTGGATGTAATAATAATAGCAAGAAAAGGGATGCCAGACTTGCATTTTTATTTTGTACTGATAGAACCTCATTGAATAAGAAAAATTGTCCATATGTTTTTAAATCAATTTTACTGATTCGTATTTTTTATAGAAAGTTGAGACAAATTACCAGCCATTTTTAACTCATATCCAAGCATTAATACATTATATTTTTGTACATATACCTGATGATCAACCCCTGAGAGCGGTCAATGCTTGGCCTATAACAACTTGTATATAAGTAAGGTAACCTCATTTTATTTGGCGTCATCTGTAAACATTTTTTCCTCCTTAGATAGGGCTACTTAACTCCTAAGTAAATGCATTTACTTGTTAGATTAGTGTTGAGTTGTATATTCATATTTAGTCTTTATAATTTCTTTTTATTTTATGAACACCTCACCTATGTCAAAAACATGTTAAGTTAATATTTAGCAAGAATTGGAGGGTTTTTACGCAATTTACATTTGAATTTCTTTTTATCACTTGAAAAAGTTATTATCAATTAGTATTGTATTATGTTCTTTGCGCTTATGTTCTGTTTCTACGTTCAAATCTATTTCACGTTTATCGTTTTACAAATTGCTAGAAGTGATGCTTTTTTTCGATATTATACGTACGATTTCACAATTTTAGATCTAGAAAAGCAGCACAGTATTAATTAGAGTCATATATTCTTCAATAATGCTAATATATTTATTTAATAATAAAATTTAAAAAAATCAGCCTTATTTAAAATAAAGAAACTGTAGGATTACTAAGAAGGCGATTTTTGTACAAATTGAAGTCAATCCGTGCAGTAGATTTGTGTTGGGCTGGAATTAAGGACTATATTATTGTGGTGATACCGAATTATTTAAAATGCAAAAGGGATAATTTATTATTCGAACTGGTGTTAGATAAGGTCTTAATTTGGAATAAAAGTTGTTACAGCTTTGTTTTAAGGAATGTGGGCAAGAAGACAGAAGTTTGAATCGACCGAATGTTTGTAAAATTTGCCAATATCAATTATTGATATGAACAACAAAACAATAGCAGGCAGTAATGGCTGAACAAGGGAATCTAAGCGCAACTACTTAGATCCAAGGTATCTAATTATTTTTAAATAAATGGCACTTTATTTGGTGTTTAAAACATTCTTAGAATTAAAGCCTATAAGGTATTAAATTTGTAATAAAAAAAAACTTTCGTATGCTGAAATATAAACCTTTCGTCAAAAGGCACAATTAAATATTGCTTCCCTTTTATTGTCTTTTTAAATTGAAATAAAAATGCGACTTAAAGTTCTCATTGTTTGTTACTTCAGGGGAAGGAATGTCTTTAATTGTGTATGTGACACAGTATAACACATTTTAATACACCTATCATAGATTTTTGCGCCAAGTATTACATAATATGTGCACAGACTAACTTGTGTTAGTACTATGGATCTATACTTATAAATCTACACTAATCCGTAGCTGCCTATGTGAGATATATAATAATATAGATAAATATGTTTATTAATTTCTCGAGTATTTATTTTAATATTTTTTGTTGTACTTCATTGCATAAGAAACTAACCGATTAACGTATGATTCGAGTTTCTGCGTGATTAGAATCAGTAACACGATTATCCGCAGTAAACTAGACTAAACCGATATGGTACAATGGATCAATAAACAGGTGGTAATGATGCGGCCATATAATGCAAACAACAGACAAGCAACGATGATGATGATATTTTCTGAATTATGATATTTAACTTATTATAATTTATTAGGAAACAGGGCTCCTTTTTGGCTGTCTAGGTAGCTACTACTTAATTACCGTCACTTTAGCAACTGTTGTGTTCTGGTTTGAACAGTATAGTTGATATAGTTACTTGCTGTGAGGAATAAAAATTTACAAGCCCCCAGTGTCTGCATTGACTACATACATCTAGTGTGCTACAAGCTTGTTCCTCACTCTGATTTTATAAATAATACGACTGTGGTTCTTAAACTGGCTGAGATTCGCTACAAGTTCAAAACAAACTGGAAACTATATCTATACATATTTTTATACCTCTTTGTGCATAAAATCATCAATTAATTCATTTTTTTTTTTTAATATATCTACCTCAATATTATTTTTGGTTTTATTTATGTTGTTGATTTCCTTGATTTCATTGTTAATAATTTTAATTCATTTTCATTTCATTCTTATTTTATTATAGGTAATAAGTAAAAAAAAAAGATACTTTTTGAATTTTGCTCAAGTAGTTAAAACTAAGATATCGGAATGTTTTCCTTGTCCGTTCGTAAGTCATTCTATCGCTTCCGAAGTCATCGTTTTAAAATCTAGTAAATTATTAATTAAAGATGTTAAATATCACAATAAGTTTCAGCAGAATGGATATGGTAGTGATATGTCTTACGGCGGAGTTGTCCGGATGTCCGTAGATCAGCGGGTCCGGACGCAAACCGGGATAATTAATATCCGGTATTGACGATTCTGTAAGAAAAAAAACCATAGATTACTTCATAGGGAGATATTTGCCATAGTTGCCACGTCTGGCAGGTGGGTTGACAACTGCACTTTTTTATTTTTACGTGTTATTAGGAAGACGCTGCTGCCCATCTCCTGGATTGGTTTAGAGCCTAACATTATTGCATAAAAATGATTATTGACCCAAGTTGTGTAGGGAGTATTAGAACTTTATCACAGAATAAATAATAGTACTACGTACAGAAGTTGCACGCCTTTGATGTTGACTGCTTGCCGACGTTTTAATATTCTACATAGTTATTATTAATCAGATAAATCGCGCACGCAACTTAAATAAAACTTTATCGCTGCGCACGAGTGTCCGTATTACTTTGCATCTGTTCTCCTTTCTACCTCCCGACAGACTTTCCATGGTTACTAAGGGATGTTAATAAAGAGTAAAAAAATACATTGTGAAATTGTAAGTAAGTTACTTAGGTAAAGTACCTATTCTGATTATGATCGACCATATTTCCGCTACTATGTGAGGTCATTCGTCGGGTATCGCGATGCTTGGCTTGTAAAACAGATAGTGTAAACAACAAATAAACCCGAAATACGATTCCTAACAGAAATGTGATCGTATTCTACTTAGTTAAAAATCTTGTAAAGAAAGTTTTAATTTCAGTATTTTGTGTTATTATAACTTAAAATATTTTAATTACAAAAGACGAGTATAGGTATGTAAGTTGGTAAGTACCTACTTACATATACCCACCAAGTGACATTTCCTTGCCCGAAAACTCTTTCACAAATGAGGGCTAGCCTGTGCCCAGCAGTGGGACGTATATATGCTGTAACTTCAACTTTAAATTTTTAACAAGTTTGTGGGATGTTTCGGTACATCATTTTTATATGGTTTTTTCTGTAGTCGGTATTCAAAACTTGTCCACCAATCAGTTTACCCCCCGTCAATGCTAACAGTACAGTCCAAATATTAATTCGTTAAACTTTTCACGTTTTTGACGTTCTGGATGCTAGAACTTTTTCTGCCGAGAAGTCCGTCTAAGTAGGCACTCTTAACTTTTTCTGTTGCCAAACAGCAGTGTATAAACTCACCGTGTAGTGGAGGTGTAAGAATATTTACTTCCGCATATCATCCCGTGGGTGTCGTAAGAGGCGACAGAGGGAAACGGATCAGGAGATGGGCAGCAGCGTCTTCCTAATATCGACTAAAAATAAAAAACTACGGTTGTCAACTCGCTTGCCAAGTTTGTGCATGCGTAGTAAAATAGTAGGCGTTAGATATTTATGAATGACAATTAGTTAAAATAATGGATTACCACGACTCGTTGGTCTAGTAGTGGTAAGCGGACTGTCGATCATGAGGTCCTGGGTTCGAATCTTAGGTTGGACCAAATCGGTTATTGAGTTTTTCTGTCAAAAAATTCGCATAGCATTCCAGTCAGGAAATATCGCGCTGTTTTATTCACCTGATCTCTCTCCGGTCTTTTCGAATTACCGTCCCATCGTATAACCCTGTCTCACGCAGGTGGTTAGTCTCTATTAAAACAGACTGTGGCTGAAATTCAATCTAAATATTACTATCATCACTGCACGATCTATTCGTCATATTATAATAATTGATACGTACCTTGTAACGAGGAAGAGTGCGCATATGAGTAAGGAGGCGAGGTGGTGGGGGCCGGCGGAAGCACTGCTGCTGTAGAAGCGCGACTGCCCGCAGGCCGGCGGACACACCGGGATTATCGTTTCTACACAACAGAACATGCCTTCAAGCAAAAACATGCCCGGACAACGCGCAATCCAAGCGAAACAGACGTAGTTTTGTAAAAAAAAAACTGCATAGACTCTCCATTTAGATTTGACGGCTCCGTGGAGTGGCTTAGCGATGAGTTGCAGCGCTGAAGGCAGTATATGTATGTCCAAATCCTACACGGGACAAGTATTTGTATGGTCTACAATTAATTGTTACGGGGCCGGATGTTTGTCATTGTGAAATTTATATATGCAAACTGCTCCACGATACATGGGAAATCTTAGTATGGGGTGTAGCGTTTTGAAAAAAGAAAAATAATCAGCGATTGCCGATGTTGCTGTAATTCGCTTTTAATTTGCTCCTTAATCTCTGCTGGATTTTAATTTCTCTCATTAAAAAAAAAAAGGATTTCTTTTAATGATAACGGCAACACTACAGTAACTTATTTGGGATAAGCTATTGAAGATGATGTGAACGCTGAACATCAGGTATTTCCTACAGTCGACACTTTCGACACTAATGGGACATGATAGCATTGATTGTTTTTTTACGAAGACGCCAATCACATAATTCATTTAGTATAACCAAGTATCTAATTAATAAGGTTATAAGTGATAATTGCAAATCATTCATTTTTACTAAACTACGTCAAAATATTCGAAAATACCAAAGAAATCACGCTGAAAAGCGCATCAATATACGAGGGTGGATTGAAAAGTACTCGGCCTAACACAGATCCATTCAATTCTAAAAATCAAATCTACCCACATTATTTAGTTCAGTTCAGACTAGTTCATTGTGTGAAGTTCGAAACGTGTGCGATAATTAGTTGTGATTTTATAAATTTATTAACAAAGTAATCGGACATAATTTCCGCGAATGGAGCAAATCGAGCAGCGTGCCGTCATTAAGTACCTCCATAAGAAGGGGCTATCATCAAAAGCCATCCATGATGACATGGTCAGTACATTAGGCGATTGTGCTCTGTCATATTCATCCGTCAAAAAATGGATAGCAGAATTTAAGCGTGGTAGAGAGAGTGTGAAAGATGAACCCCGCTCTGGAAGGCCTTCGACGTCAACTACTGACGAAAATATTAAAAAAGTACTTGATTTAATAATGGGAGACCGCGATTAAAAATTAGAGAGATAGCCGAGATTATAGGCATCTCTTATGAACGAACTCAAAACATCATTGTCAACGAGTTGGGTTTCCACAAGGTGTCTGCGAGGTGGGTTCCGCGACTGCTTTCAGTTGAACAAAAAAGGACGCGATTGACTATTTCACGCGACTGTTTGGAGTTATTTGAAGCCGATGCAGATGATTTTTTGAATCGTTTTGTTACTATGGACGAAACATGGGTTCATTACTGTACACCGGAAACAAAACAACAATCAAAACAGTGGAGAAGACCTGGTTCACCACCCCCTAAAAAGGCTAAGTCGATTTTGTCGGCAAATAAGGTGATGGCTTCAGTATTCTGGGACTCCAAAGGTGTGATTATGATTGATTATCTTGAAAGGGGTCAGAATATAAACTCTGATTACTACTGCACCTTACTACGTCGTTTACGAGAGGAAATAAAAGAAAAACGTCGAGGAATGCTCAGAAGAAAAGTCCTGTTTCATCAAGATAACGCCCGTGTTCACACGTCAGTACAGTCAATGGATGAAATTCACAACTGTGGCTTTGAACTGTTACCGCATCCGCCGTATTCACCTGATCTGGCACCATCAGACTTCTTTCTGTTCCCTAACCTAAAAAAGCACTTGGGAGGTCAAAGATTTTCGACAAACGACGAGGTCAAAGCAGCTGTAGACGCATATTTTGACTCTAAGGAAGAATCATTTTTTTTCAACGGTCTAAATGCTTGGAAGGGGAGGTGGCAAAAGTGTATTGAACTTGATGGTGATTATGTAGAAAAATAAAAATATAAAAGATTTAGTATTTGTTTATTTTCTTGGTTAGGCCGAGTACTTTTCAATCCACCCTCGTACCATTTAACAAAATAACATTCAATTGCCAAAAAAAAACTATCAAAAGCTTTGGTAATAAAATTCAACGCTTTCAATATGTCAATCGATAATGCAAAACAGTAACTTCAGCATTTATGAAAAAATATAAAAAGCATATTCAGAAAGCACAAAGCCCTTAATTTTTCACTAAGTAATTGAGGCTTTGGTAAAAGCTATCTTTATGCAAGATATTAGTTTTCATAAAATAATTTTATAAAAATCTATATGAGAAAATGAACACGAAAGTCTCATGATCATATACAGTTATAGACTAGGAGATGGTGACAGAAAATATTCTCCCATTTTCTCCTGCATGCCTTTTTAAGAATTGATAACTAACCCTAAAATATGAAAGATAGAGGGGTTACGAGCCCTTACACGCTTGCACGTCATAAAGAAAATGGCTTCTCTTTGTGTAAAGAATTTTAATATTTTTCCGTGACATTATATTGCATGCCTTTGTAATATAACGTAGTTGGAACAAATTTAAGCTATAATAATTGATGGTATGCAATTCGCAACGGCCGACGGGGCTCAAAGAGTTACGTAGAAATGAAAAAAAAATAGAACATTTCCGTGTTTACAAATTGCATGCCGTTGTAAAAAATTAGTTTTTTTATCTCAAAAATACTCCACAAAAATTGGCATGTACCCCTCGTATGATCAAGGGTGGAAAATATTAGGAAAATGTTGTGAAAATTCAATACAACTTTTCCGTGATTTGAAATGTCACAAGGGGTCGCTTCCAGCGTAAAGTAGACGCTACACTTTTATTTTTTCATTTATTTTTTTTATTTTACGTGACTTTGTTGGAACCAACAATATAAACTTTTCCGTGATTTGAAATGTCACAAGGGGTCGCTTCCAGCGTAAAGTAGACGCTACACTTTTATTTTTTCATTTATTTTTTTTATTTTACGTGACTTTGTTGGAACCAACAATATACTATATAAAATATTCCAGTTATTTAATACAGTAAACCCGAGTACTTAATAATAGAAACAATAACTTAGTTTGAAGAAAGCCACGTACCAATGTATTGACAGCGGTTTTTTTGTTTATTTAAGTAATTTTTTTATTGAAGTGTAAAATAATATTTACAGACAAAAAGGCATGCAAAAAAAGAAACAGGGAAATGTTCCTTATTTTTATTTTCGTTAAAAACTTTTTTAATTTCATTTTTGCACAAGTTTTTTATGTCAGGCTTGTGTAATATGCATGCCATTTTTTTATCAACTTAAAATAATGTTTTTAATGAAATATTGAATGGCATGCAAAATAAAGTCACGAAAATTATAATAGCGTTTTTTGCATTTTTCGTCATGCATGCCAAATTTGCTAACGTCAATAAATTATAAAAAATAAGTATCGTTCAAATGGCATGCAGTTTGAAATCACGGAAAAGTTGTATTGAAATTTCACATTTTCCTAATATTTTCCACCCTTGGTCATGCGAGGGGTGCATGCCAATTTTTGTGGAGTATTTTTGAGATAAAGAAAAAACTAATTTTTTACAACGGCATGCAATTTGTAAACATGGAAATGTTCTATTTTTTTTTTCATTTCTACGTTACCCTTTGAGCCCCGTCGGCCGTTGGGAATTGCATGCCAATAATTATTATAGCTTAAATTTGTTCCAACTACGTTATATTACAAAGGCATGCAATATAATGTCACGGAAAAATACTAAAATTCTTTACACAAAGAAAAGCAATTTTCTTTATGACGTGCAAGCGCGCAAGGGCTCGTATCCCCTCTATCTTTCATATTTAATGGTTAGTTATCAATTCTTAAAAAGGCATGCAGGAGAAAATGGGAGAATATTTTCTGTCACCATCTCCTAGTCTATTAGAAAATATTCATTAATGTAAAAACAACAAAAGCAATCTATTTAAAAATCAAAATAAATTACTACAGTAATATATAAGATGACATGAAGAACAACTAGCTCACCAAACAACTCGACCTGGCCCTCGGCAGTGCCAAGTTTGTTCTGCGCCTTGCAAGTGAACAGGCCATACTGACGCTTCTCGATTGTGATAACGCGTAGAGTAGTGTCGGTGAATTCGTCAGCAGTCGCGAAGTGGGATATTCTGGTAACGGATAGATATACAACATTTTATTAGAAAAAGAGAACCCACGCGAGATAAGATAAAATGGCTGCCGTATTAAATAATGCAAAAGAAGCCAAATTCTTAAATTAATTTGCTAGCAGAAAAAACAATATGAATAATTTAAACAAAGATAATTCAAAAAATAAGAGAAAGAGAAAGTATCTTTCACCAAAACTTGTATTATTGCTTACCTGTAATGCTGATTATTTGATAGCTGGACTTCATCTTTCAACCAAGATATAGCAGGTGGCGGGTATGCTTCCACATGACATTCCAGATCCATATCGTATTGTAGCGCCTGGGCAACGAGTGGTATTTTAGATTTAGACATTAACCCTTTTTACACAAGCGCGTGCACTTCTATAGATGCAATTTCTAAGCACGATTATAAACTCCAAACCGAATTGTTACTTATAAAAATAAATGTGGTTAATGACTCATATATTCCACCTGATGTTAAGTGGATGCTGTGGTCACTAGACATCTACATCTAGCCTCATTAAAGAATGAAAATGCAGATGCGTTGTCACCCCTGAGGACTAAAGCGGGGAATTCATTAGACGGACATGCCCACGGGCTGTTTGTCCGGAGATGTCTGTCGCCGCAATACACTGCACAGACTCATCAGTTTGTTTTAGACCGGCTACGTGAATTGCTGCTACGGTCATCTTAATGTGCACGCACAACTAATTGTGCGTTAAGATGACAACTAAAAGACGAAAAATTGCAATAGTAGCTGGTACTGCATTAATACTGTCCGATGATAAGAAAAAGAAAAGAATTTGGTGTAAATAATGGTATAAAAATAGAAATAAGTTTAGCCATATCAATTTATTTAAAGACTTAGACATTGATGAACCAGGAGACCTGTACATTTTACTTATGCATGGATATAGTCGTTTGAATTTTATTACAACTGATAGACTTTCTCTTCTCAGAATATTTTAGTCTTTTCCCAGAATATTTTATTCTCTTCTCAGAATATTTTATTCTCTTCATAGAATATTTTATTCTCTTCCCAGAATATTTTATTCTCTTCTCAGAATATTTTATTCTCCTCCCAGAATATTTTATTCTTTTCTTAGAATATTTTATTCTCTTCCCAGAATATTTTATTCTCTTCTCAGAATATTTTATTCTCTTCCCAGAATATTTTATTCTCTTCTCAGAATATTTTATTCTCCTCCCAGAATATTTTATTCTTTTCTTAGAATATTTTATTCTCTTCCCAGAATATTTTATTCTCTTCTCAGAATATTTTATTATCTTCCCAGAATATTTTATTATTTTCTTAGAATATTTTATTCTTTTCCCAGAATATTTTATTCTCTTCCCAGAATATTTTATTCTCTTCTCAAAATATTTTAACCTCTTCCCAGAATATTTTATTATCATTAAAACTCATTGCAAATTAAAAAATCTCCAAAATTTGTTAAATAATAATAAAAAGACGTCTGAACTGGTTGCTGTCGCTCTTGTGTCTGTGAACAGAGTGCCTAGTGCAAGTTTTTTTTACGTGTTCGATCCCGAGAAAGTTAACTACGATTTGTATGAAATAAAATCAGCGCCAACTAATGGCAATAATCGGAATCACAATTCAGTAGTCGATATCGACCATCGAGCATTGACTCGCATTCGACAGTGAGAACGTTCACGCCACGTGCGTTTGGTTGTTTCAAGTATTTTGCGAGTGCGAGCGGCAATTTCGATCGTTCGAGACGTAACTTATGTAAACTTTACGCCGTCGATATCGAAAAAGTTTTCTCCTAAATTTTTACAGTGAGAGAAGAATAGAGAATAATTGAAGAAGAGTTAATTTTATTTCGTTTTGTGAGAACGATATATAATTTAGGCAGGACGTTTTTTTTTCCTTAGGAGGATGTTTGCAGCCAAAAGGTATTAATAACTAATAATAATAGATGACTGCTATTATAACGCCAGTGTTGAAGCAAGAGCTTGTGCATATTTTAGTCCGTTGTTACACCCCAATGACAGGTAATTTAAGGATAGATATCGCCTTTTCCAAGAAAATATTAAAGTTTTTGTGTAAATAGCGTTTGATAAATCCAAGTTCCTACCATCACTATTTAATAATTAAGTCAATTACTACCTCAGGCCATCCTATCGCTTGCATTAGAGGATGCTTTGTTGAGGGCTCCATGCCAAAAATCTAATAAATTCTAGTCTGTGAAACCTCATAAGTTCAAAATACACGCATCATAAGTTCACTTAACACTAAGTGACTAAATTCCATTTACTGTTCCATAAATGTCACCATAAAAATCATTTTTAAATAATACTAATTTTACGGATTTTATCGCGTATATTAATATATTCACCAACTTATAAGTTGGCTCAACACTTTGCAAAAATACTGTCACCACTAAGAGGACATACCAGAGCACACACAAAGGATTCATACCAATTTGTTAGTGAGATTAAAGACCTACATCTCGCTGACAATGAAACTATGGTCAGTTTTGATGTTCAGTCACTATTCACATGCCTACCTATTGAAGACTGCATCTCAATTGTTACTAGAAAGCTAGAAGATAACAACATGCCTACAGAATATGCAGTATTACTCAAACACTGCCTCACATCTGGCTATTTATTGTGGAAAGAAGAGTTCTACATGCAAGTAGACGTAGTGGCAATGGGCCCACCTGTATCTCCCGTAGTCGCCGACATATTCATGGAGGACTTTGAGGAGAAAGCCCTTCTTACTGCTCCTGTAAATCCAAGATTCTACAAGCGGTACGTAGACGATACTTTCACAATTTTACCATCTGACAAAGTAACTGCATTTTAAACCACCTTAATTCCATAAACCCTAAAATACAATTCACAATGGAGTTAGAGGCAAACAATACTTTAGCTTTTCTAGATGTTTTAGTCATCCGAAATCCTGATAACACTATTGGTCATACTGTGTACAGGAAAAATACCCATACCAACCGATATTTAAATGGTGAATCTCACCATCATCCTTCACAGTTAGCTACCGTGGGAAAATCTTTGTTTCAGAGAGCACGAGGGATCTGTGACAGAAAACATCTGGCCGCCGAGCTTCAGCACGTCGAGCAAGTACTGCAAGACAACAAGCTTCGGGTCCCGCGCCTACGTCACAGTGACCGAGTGAAGCCAGCCACAGTCGAGCGTGTGCCTGCTGTACTACCCTATGTCAGAGGAGTCACAGACAAGGTTGGCTACATCTTGAAGCAAGCTTCCATTAAAACGTACTTCAAGCCGCTGAAGAAGATTGGTCAATTTTTACCATCCGTCAAGTGTCATATCCCTCTACAAGATGCAGGAGTGTACAAGCTGGATTGTGAATGTGGTCTCTCGTACATAGGACAAACAAAAAGATCTATTAAAACCCGCGTTAAAGAACATATAGCTGACGTGAAGCACCGACGTATCGGGAAGTCTGCAGTTTGTGAACATGTTCAGGATCGTCCCCGTCATTACATTAGATTTGATAGACCACAAATCCTCGCAAAAGAACACCGATTCCTCCCAAGGATGATTCGCGAGGCTATTGAAATTAAAAAACATCCTAATTTCAATAGAGAAGATGGATGGGTGCTGCCATCTGCTTGGGATCCCATAATTAATAAAATCAAATCCAAACCCAAGTATACCACTGCTAGACTTCAAGATACTGTAAGCTCATTCTGCGTAAATCGAACCAAAAATTAATATTAAAAAACTGAAGGTAGCCGGGCTAACTATGACAGCAGGACGTCAAACAACTCAGTCCCCCGTGACCACGGGTGCTGGCAAGCACCCGAAACGTCGGGAATATAAAAATAAGTTAATATTCGCGATAAAATCCGTAAAATTAGTTTTATTTAAAAATATGTATTGTTCGCGTAAATATAAGAAATCATTACATAAAAATCATATTAGAACGAAAACATCTTCATTTTTTTTGCTTTCAATTTAATACTTTCAATAACTAACAATAAAATGGCTAATTCACAATCTCATAATACTAACACAAACTGTCGAAACCTTGATCAAATTACCAAACATAAACAAATAGGTAATAATGAATTGTGATTCCGATTATTGCCACTAGTTGGCGCCGATTTTATTCCATACAAGTCGTAGTTAACTTTCTCGGGATCGAACACGTAAAAAATCCTCGCACTAGGCACGCAGACAGCCCGCAGTTAACATTCACGTCCGCAGACAAAATGAGACCGCACGGACGTTCCACAGGCAAATCTGCCAGACCGACTACAACGGTCTTAAGCCTCGCGTACACCTAATCCGTCATCGGCCGAAGTTTGCTCGGGCGATCGTATTAAACACTTGTAAAAGAAAGGGAGCGCGTACACAAATACGACCGTTATCGTCCGATGACGCCCGAAATCGGCCGATCAACCGTCGAGTCCGAACTTTTTGGGATTTCTCGTCCGACTGCAGGCGTCTACAGTGCAAGTTGAATGTATTTATACCTAGTTTAATTTAATAATTCTGTGTTTATTCTGTTGTTTCGTGTTTTTATCTACCTAAACAACTATGGATATAGAAAAATTAATTAGTTGTATTTATAATAGACCAACCCTGTGGGATAAACATTCAAGAAACTACAATAATCGAGATGTTTCAAAACAGTTATGGGAAAAATGTCTTCGTACGATATTAAAATACCACACAAGCAACTCGTCGACGCAAATTAATGGCAATCGAAGTTAAGTTAATCACTCAAAACTCAAGAAAAGCCTCGTTGTCACGTAAACGCACGAAAAAGACAACGCAATCAGAGGCGGTCGTCACGCGACTGAACGATTCGAGCGTAAATTCCAGACTCGTAGGACACGGCGGCCCGGTTGATCGTCCACACGTCAGGCGACCGAGGGTGAGCGGAGAGACGCGCGCGGGTAAGGGGGCCAGGCGGTGACCTAAATATCATCAGATGAACGCGCCGAGACAAGCGTTTTGACTGCAAGTTTTAAATGTTAAGATTTGGCCTAAACACCCCGCTTAAGATGGAATGACTCGTTTCCAGTAAAAAAATTCTCACTTAGAAATAAAACGGTACGCGGTACGCATGAAAATAAATGTCAATTCGTCCTTTTTATTTTATGTTTTTCGCAACGTAACTAACGTCGATTATCGAATAAGGCTTATTTGTATTCTGCATTAAACTTTGAGTTTATATTATTACATTTACTATAAGCTGTAATAACATAACATAATATTTATAGAATAAGGGTGACAAACAAGCACGCAGAAATAATGGAAGGATTGGCAGCCGTCCCAATTACAGCTGGAAAGATAAAGTAAGATAAAGTAGGAAAGGACCTGTATGAACTTCAGATCCTAGATTGACAACAGTTGACGCAAATAGATCTAAGTGGAGTCTTATATTGTCGGAGTCGAGTCTCATTTTGGGTCACTAAGCCACGTTAGTTGGTAAGTTAGCTCACCTGACCCAAGCGTGGACGTGGCACGGTGACAACGGGCGCGAACTCGACCTCAAGATTGATGTTTCTGCGGGCCCCCTTGGCCACTCCGTTCTCTGCCACACAGTAGTACGTACCGCGGTCTTCTTTGTGAACTGAGTTTAGCTTTAGGATGTTACCCCTGGGGACAAAGATTATTTTAATATCATATCAACAAATACAAATTTGATAGGTTGGGCTTTACTGTGGACTTGCCAAGGTCACAACACTACCCGCCGTTCTTTTTAAATCCGGTATATTATTTTAATACTGCACTAAACGTAAAGAAATGCACATTAATATTAAGAGGAAACACTAATTAATAAATTTGACGCCATTATCAAGTATCACAACAAGTCTTGATTTGAGCGATTGAGAATTTATTCAATATAGAGAGCTACGCCGCAGCTAAATTATGGTTGTAGCACGAGTGGGTCGCGTCGACCGGGGAACGACCACGCTCTCACAGAATAACCAACTTATAGACAGCTCATAGACATTAAATATATCCTCGATTAAGAATCAAAATGCTAATGCATCAAGAAGTCTTGTCACCCATGAGGACTAAGATGGAATGTCTCGTTTCTAGGTAACAGAGTTTCCAGTTCTCTACACTCACCATACGAAACAGCAGCCACTAAACTGCTATTTCACACTGGTATTTTGTGAAAGCGTGGTCCTCCCGCGGTCGAGCCGACCCATTCATGCTACAACCATAATATAGCTGCAGCGTGACTTTACCAGATAAAAACTCTGAACTTAATTTATTAGGCTTTACAGTGGTAGAGCCAGGCGGTAGCTTTTGATGCCGCACGGATGGGCCGGTTCAAATCGGGGTGGTACCACGATCTCACAGAATACCAGCGTGAAGTAGAGGTTTACCTCTGCGTTTCGCTTGGCGAATGCAGGTGGCCGGAGGCCCAAACCCCCCCCCCCCCCTTGATATGGTAGCGGAATCAACCAAATAAAAAAACTACCCCAGATAGGTACCAGCACCCCTGGTGACACAGGATCCCGCGATGAGTCCTCGGTGGGTGCTCAGGCTAACGCAAGGGCAAAGGCTAAAGGAAAACGTCGCCAAGTACCGGGACAAACTTGTGTCTGAAGTCGAGTCTTTGCTGAACAAAGTGTCGGATTGGGGGCTACTAAATCTAGTCCAGTTTAATCCTCAGAAGACACAAGTTTGCGCGTTTACCGCAAAAAAGAACCCGTTTGTAGTAGTACTCCTCTTGCTGCCTCAGCTAGTATCAGAATCCTCGACGTCGACATATCCAGTAGCGTGCAGTTTCGTGGTCACTTGGAAGGGAAGGCCAACTTGACCTCTAAAAAGCTTGGCGTGCTCAGCAGAGCGAGACAATATTTCATGCCGGCACATCGCTTGCAACTTTACAAGGCGCAAGTTCGGCCTTACATGGAATACTTTCGTCATCTCTGTTTTCTGTCTTCATCCTCATGACGTTAAACTGGGACAAGGAATAGATTAAATATTTGTAGGTAGTCAAGAAAGTGTGCACGGGAAAGAGCCACGTGCAAGTACCGCGCGCATCTCCCGAGATTCGGCCCGTATGACCTGAGGGTCGGTGGGGCCATGGGAGGTGGTGGGTTGTCCTCATCTCTGGGCTGGGGCACCCCAGTGCCAGCTCCTTCCACTTGACCGCATCCAGCATAGAGCGGTTCGAATCGTCGACGACTGAGTTCTTTCTGATTGGCTCGATTCACTGGCGCTGCGTAGGGACGTTGCATCCCTTTGCATTTTCTATCGAATCTACCACGGGGAGTGCTCTGAGGAATTCTTCGGATGAACTCCAGCCGCCAAACTTCACAAACGCACATCGCGTCAAAACCCTCACCATCTGTTTGTTTGGCGGTCCACCACTGTGGGTTTTACTAGGAGTTTTCTTTCTCGTACAACTTCTCTGTGAAATAGCTTACCACCGGCGATTTTTCCAGACCGATACGACTTAGGGACCTTCAAGAAAAGAGCTTACTCCTTTCTAAAAGGCTGGCAACGCACCTAAAATTCCCCTGGTGTTGCGGTTGTTCATGGGCGGCGGTAGTCACTTACCATCAGGATAGATATCACATTGGAGCCGCATGCTCGTTTGCCCCTTTTCTATAAAAAAAATTATTTACCTGTAAATAGATCCTCCTGTGGGCAGAATAGCGTTGTTCTCTCGGCGCCAAGATATCTTCGGTGGTGGGAATCCACCAGCGTAACACTCCATCTGTGCACCTAAAATAATTATTTTTAATATCATTAAAAAGCCAAAACTAACAGTTCACGTGATAACAAATACTGGCCATGGACAACAAGAACCAAGTTCGTAAGTTAGAATTAAAAGGAAGTAAGGTTAGAATAGAATACTTTTTATTCAACATAGATTACAAGTATCACTCTTATTAAATGCCATTTTATGCTTTTACCACTGGTTTGAAATAAACATTTGCCCTGTGCAGAACCAGCTAGATAGCCAGTGGAACGGTATTTTTGAAATAGTTATTTATGATAATTTACAATGTAGTCCAATTGAATTACACATTAGAAACAGCGTATTAGCGATCACCACATTCCCAGGTTATCTATTAGTGTTTAACATTCAGTGTTGTAATACATTTCGTTTTAGTGCAATTTAAACATTAACTTGTTTAGACATTAATCATTTCCTTATATTTTACTAAATCTCGTTTTAGTTTGAAAACCAATGAAGTATCATCAGGAGATAATACTATATTGTTGCTATCCGCTCTACGGCAAGGCAAGTCATTAATATAAATTATTAATAGGAATGGACCAAGAATTGAGCCTTGAGGAACAACACCCATTGAGACAATTGACCCGAAAAAACTTATGCCATCAAAAACATAACTTGTAAAAAAAACCAAGTCTCGCAACTCAGTTCTTCTTACCGTAAAAAGTTGTGGAATCCATGTAATACCAAGTCGGTTAATTTATTCAGTCCCTACTTAAGGGTCCTTCTGTCTTAAGTTATTAAGTAATTAGCTAACCTAACAACATCTTATAGTGATCACATCAATACTAAAAATGTTTTATATTTTAAATAAATAGATTGACTTGGCCATCGCATGAAAACATATATAGATCGAGGTAATTCAGGAGGTGTCAGTCACAACGTTCGTTTCGTCTGTTTGACTAAATTTATTGCGTGTTCCACAAATATTTCGTATAAATTATAAATTTAGAAAAGTTAATAACAATGTCGCCACCAGTAAAGTAAAATTAGACGAAAGTGATCGGGATAAGTCCCAGTGCAAAATATTAAATTAGACGAAAGTGATCGGGATAAGTCCCAGTGCAAAATATTATGCAAAAAAAAGTTACTCACGAAAGGTATTTTCCAAAGGTATTTACCACAACATTTTTTGAAAAATTATCTTAAATGGATGCACTCAGAAGAGTTTAGTTTGTTCGAAAGCTCGAATAACGAAAAACAATTGAAGAATAAAAAATTGAGTTGCAAGATTCCACCCGAACAAACATAGTTACAGTGCAAATTAAAAAAAAGCTTGTAAAAAAGATTATACAGGTAAATTGGAATTTCAATCTGGTTTTATAAGTTTAAAACTGACAGTCAGACTCGATGAAAACTAATTCTCAGCTATAGGCACCCTTTCTAATAATTTATCAAATGGGAATACGAGTTTACTGTCCCCCAACTTTTATATTTTGTATTTATTGATATAATTCAGTGTTAATTGGACCAAATTAAAAAAAACTAGAAGACAATCAATGTGATATTATAATTTTTTTATGACTACTACTATGATTTTGATTTGATTTTTTTACTTAATAGCGGAACTTTTTAAGCAATTTAAAAAAGAAAAAATGTATGAACATCTGAATTGAGCACCCCCTCCTTTTTTGAAGTCCGTTAAAAACATTTGCAGGTTTTTATAGTAGTTTTTGAAGTTTGATTGAAGTCGGTTCTTTTTCATGTTATTAATTAATATACAAATTACTTCAAAGAGTTGCAACGCTAAGGACCGCGGGTTCGAATCCCGCACGAACCAGTATTTATATCGCTAACAAATAATTGTTCCGGGTCTGGATGTTATGATCTTGCCTTGACGTTAGACGTTCATATTCACTCATCGAGTGAAGATAAAGGTCAAGAAGAAACACCTGACAAGCCGAACGCTCTTTTTAAGAAAGAGTTGGTAATGTATCGGCAGAAAAAGACTGGATGTGGATCAAAATCCACTGACCTGGTGGAAATTAAATAGAGGAGAATTGAAAATTCTCTCTGGATCTGCACGCAAGTACTTATCGCCTGTACCGGCCCTTGTAAATTAGATGAATGTTTAAAAGATACAAATGGTTGGACTTAATGAAATTAGTTTTCTTTTTTTGGTTTTGTGTTATATTTAGAAGGTTAAATTATAACTGTTGGGAAAAAAGAATCTACTTATAATTTTCTTACGACTTCTTCTCAAAAAGTCTCGCGCAGTGAGTACTTGTTGAAGCGATGGTGTAGCTTTTCCGACTTAACCGATCTGAAAAATTTATGAGGGTGCAAGAAAAAAATTATCTTTCTATTAATTATATGTCATAATAATCTGGCAAAATCCGTGGAAAATATTGAAAAATAGGGATAGCCTGCACTAGATCAAAGAGAAAAAAATTATTTCATGTGTACCTTAGCGTCTTCCAAAGCCACTATTTTATGATATTTAACGTCAAATACCACATCACTTAAAAGGAACTTACTCTCCCCCTCGCTGACCACGAGTGAACGCGTCGAGTTGTCAGAAATTATCGGGGGACGTCGAACTTGCAGCTCTACTTCCGCGGTGATCCTGTTGCTCACCGACAGGAGCACTTGGCACTGGTACCAGCCCGCGTCAGTTTCTTGAATGTCCTTTATCTGTAAGAAATATTGCATTTACATTATCAAATAGCCTCATACGTCCTAATATTTTGTACATGCCTCCTCGTTTTTTAACCAACTTCTATAAACCACATGTATGTTTTTTTATGTATCTTCACCAATCTCTCGAATGAAACGAAAATGTGAACTGATTGAATTCAGATTTTTTTTACCAGGTCTTATCGCACAACTGAATAGAATAGAATAGAATATACAAAGTTTTAAAAAGTAAAAAAAAAACACTAAGGAAAATAAATAATCGTTTACTTCATTTGAAAATTTTAACTTACAGAAAGCGTGTATGTGGCTGATGCAGCATCAAACCTCATGGAGAATCTTGAATCTCTGATAATAAGACCAGAGTTAGACGACAGCGGTAAAGCCTCTGTGGTCTTCAGTCTGTCATATTTCATCTGAAACAATTAAAAAAAGAAAACATTAGTTGGATGATGGAAAATTCAATTGCTATTTGTTTTCAAAAATAACTTAATTTATTTTTAATTCTAAACACTGAAATAAATTCTGTATTAAATACAATGTGCTTTGCAATTACCCTTTAAGATATTTTAATAATTAAAAATTAAAATTTTGTACAGCCGACTTCAATATAAGTTATTAAGAATAACTCAAAAACTATTGGTCTCACCTTGATCAAATTCATATGGGACCACAAGAGAAGTCCCAGCTTTCAAATAAAAAAAGAATCATTGAAATCGGTTCACCCAGTAAAAAGTTATGAGGTAACACATATAAAAAAAACATACAGTCGAATTGAGTACCGTCTCCTTTTTAGAAGTCGGCAGAAAAGTAACGCCTTGTATAACACGAGGTTTTTATTTAACAAAGCTACGTTGTAGTGTAGTAAGGCTGCGACGTCAAATGCTCGCCCGTAATAGGACCATGCTGGCACATAATACCAGCGTTAAAGTGCTGCATAATGCTGCTGTGTTTTTAATGGCCAGGACGCGGACCGGAGACCTTTTTTTACAGATTACTAATGCCTATATATGTAGGTGTTTATGGACAAAATCATCCATTTACCATCAGGTGGGTTGTGTGTCTGTTTGTCACAATTACTTCTATACATAAAATACACATTATACAACTTTCCTCTTGAGAAACTTATCCCTTTATGAAACAAGAACGTATTTCGTCTTCACATAGTATAAAACAAAGTAGCTTTTCGCCGTCTGTACGCTTCGATCTTTTAAACTATGCAACGGAGTTTAATACGGTTTTAATCAATACAAATAATGATTCAAAAGAAAGGTTTTTTATTCATAATACATGCATATTATATATTATATATATAATTCTTTTGTCCGTGTATGTGACTGAACTCCTAAACGGCAGGACCGATTTTCATGAAATTTTGTATGTGAGATTAAGTTGTTTAGAGAATGGTTAAGATTCACAATTGGATCCGGTAAGTGGCGTTGTTGTCGAGATCCAGAAATAAACCGTGCGAAGCCGGGACAGATCGCTAGTGTACTATAATATTAACTAAGAACATTGATTGATTGATTTGGTTTGTTATGAAAACATTACTCTCATTAGGACTTGCTCCTGTATCGTGGAGGCAGTTTACAAACATAAATTTCACAAGGACAAACACCCAGACCCGGAACAATTATTTGTAGGCCATACAAAATACTTCCGTGCGGGATTCGAACCCGCGGCCCCAGGGCAGCAACTCATAGCTAAGCCACTGCGCCACGGAGCCGTAATTGAACATTTACACACAATATAGTAAGACAATAACTATGATCTATATGTAGTACACGGGACAGCGAAAGGCTTAAGTTATATAAAGATTAAAAATTAAAACTTAGCAGTACGTGCTCACTTATTACTATGTGGGAAATATGTGTAAAAACTATATATATAGCATCTATACACGAAGTGTCCTCAATTGTGCGTCTTTTAAAAACGGTAAAGGCTGTCTGGCCTGTATAAAAACTGAAAGGAATTTTTAATTCTTCGTATAAAAAGAGATACGCGTAGAAGTATTCTCGAAAAAAAAAGGAGAAAATACCTTTTCTACGTAGGAAATTTATGGCTAAATCGAAACTACAGTACAGCTTAAAAGAATCCACAATTTAACCAAAAATGCAAATGTTTTATAAAGATCCAAAATAATACGGTAATAATTGTAGGTGTCGTTCGCGTCAAACAGGGTTATAGCAATTCAGCACTTTACTTGAAATCATTTATATTTTTCTTCGAACTAAAATACCACTTTTCTTAACATATTCTGACATAGTTCTGCTGTGTTTAGTAAGGTTCGAAATTAATCCTCAGTCATAACTAATTTTTTATCCCTTGTTCCGGGATACCATATTATACTGTTGACCATTGTAAATATTTGTGAATGTAATATGGTTTATCAATAGAGATTATTTTTATTATTATTATTATACTCTACATACATATTCGTCATAAGGGTTAAGAGGAAACGCAGGTAGTTTTTCCCCATACAAACGTTTTTTTCTGGTTTATGACATTATAGCAATGAGTTTTTACAGTAAAATAAATATCAACCAGTTTTGTCCCTATGTTTTCCATTTTAACGATACCTTTATAAGCACTAGAACCCTTACAAAATGCTCAAAATTGCCTAATGAGACCGCTGCCAACAGAGGCCTAATGTTCAAATTTGATAAGTAATACTGAAAAAATATTAATACGTATTATTGATAATAAATATTTATACGTGATAGAGCCATGCTGCAGCTATATTTCTGGTATAGTTGTAACACGAATGGGTCGGCTCGACGGGGGAAGGACCACGCTCTCACAGAATACCAGCGTAAAATAGCAGCTTAATGCTGCTGTGTTTCGTATGGTGAGTGTAGAGAACCGGAGACCCTTTTTACTGGAAACGAGGCATTCCATCTTAGTCCTCACGGGTGACAACGCATCTGCATTTTGATTCGTAATCGAGGACGAGGATAAATGTAGATGTCTATGGGCCACAGCAACCACTTACCATCAGGTGGACTGTGTGCTCGTTTGTCACCCCTATCCTATAAAAAAAACACAGGGACACAGTGTATATCCTTCTTATTCAGTCTATAAAATTACTTTTAAAATTATCCAATATTGGAGGAGGCAATGGTTTTTACTGGAAACGAGGCATTCCATCTTAGTCCTCACGGGTGACAACGCATCTGCATTTTAATTCGCAAACGTGAATAGATGTAGATATCTATGGACCACAGCAACCACTTACCATCAGGTGGACTGTCCTCGTTTGCACCCTTATACTATAAAAAAAAAATCTAATTTACTTCTTCTGTTTCTTTTATCTTAAAAGTTTTTATTACAATAATAAAATATATTAAAGAACTAATTCGAATTATTAGAGTTCGTATTAATAACACACACTCCCATACAAAAAAAATCACATATTCATTTAGTAAAAGTAAAAGACGACGGCTTACAACCATTAGGTACCTGTCCATTACCTTATATATTTTTTTCCAAATTAATCGCACAAGTTCTCTCAGTTGCAGATCAAAAGGGTTCACATAAGGGTTGTTAGACACAGGGGTCGCTTCCCCCATCCTTTTCGACAATGGCGGGCAAACCGCAGTAGAGCAGCGAGCTGAGTACTTCACATGCTCTCATTAGAGAAGCTAAGTGTACTCAATAAACGTTCATTAGTGAATAGTTACTGTTATTGCAGACACAAAACTACTTTGTAATGTGTGTCGGCTAAACGCCGTAAAATTCTGGTGCGCTGGAAGTTCGCTTACAACCCTAATTTTCAATATTGCCATTTTTAGATTCTTCCGAGCTTTAATAGTACATGTTATATTGTATTGTTTATATATAGTAGTGTACCGCATATTGTAGTAGCTTTTAACTCTTTCGCTGTCCCGTGCAATACATATAGGTTATTGCTATTGTCTTACTATTGTGTCTGAAAACCGGACAGTGAGTGTTAATTTAAAGTCTCATCTAATTTGGACTAGCCTTTAAATGTGTCTTTTGGGGAAACTGCTTCGGCCGTATTTATTCATTATAGCCCTGCACAAATCCACGGCTGAACATAGGACTCCCGCGAGGAAGGCTCAAAGCACGATCCAGCGCTTGAACAAGTAGATTTTAGTCGAATTAATGTGAACCAAAGCATACCAAACCATACTATACCATACCATTACAGCCTATCAAAAGTACAGCAGTGAACATAGGTCTCCCTTATAGATTGTCTCATAAGGGCGATATCTGCCATAGTTGCCATACTTGGCAAGTGGGTTAGTAACCGTAGTTTATTTTTATTATTATTCAGCTGTTATCAGAAAAATGCTGCTGTCCATCTCCTGGATCAGTTTACCTCTGTCGCTTCTTATGACACCCACGGGATATGGGGTTATGGGGTAGTGTTAACAGTACTATACAAAATGTTTTTGCACTCGATTTGATGGGTCTGATAAACGGGTATGCGTTGTAGTTCATGTCGAATTGTTGCTCAAGTTCTGTCTCTAGGCTCAATTTTATATATCATATTCTGTCGCCTCTTGGGCCCACGGATGATATGGGTTAGTGGATATACTTACACCGCTACTACATGTTTTAAATATAAACAGCTCTATGCAAAATGTCTATGTATCTCAGGGTCCATCTCTAAACTCAAATTTAATGTTCAACACTAAATGTCACCACTAAAAGAAAACACCGTTAGAAAATCTGAAAAGCTAAAATATTTAGAAAACATGTTGCGAATTTCATACCCTAAAATCTTTTTACACAAATCATCAAGAGAAGAGGTCTGAGAAACATACTTTCACGTCTTTTATCTAGAGTGGTAGGCAGAGACTGGAATGCCCGATGGAAGGCCCGATCCTTACACACTTCTTTCACACCCATATCACGCACACACGCTCGCCAGTGATGGTTGCTCTTAATTTGGATCTCTTCAATAATCGCGCATTTGGTCGATAAACTTTCGTCTAGAGCGTCCCTTGCCGACTCTCACTTCTACAGCATCAATTTGTTTTGTCATTCTTTTCTGAATCATATTTACTAAGTGTTCTAACCGTCGAAGCATTTTTTTACTAATCCCGGTCACAACATCTTGCAAACCACACTTTTTTCTCAGCGCGCAAGTTGTCGCCCTATCATTCAGTCGCTGTGTAAATTTCCATACGTGACTTTATCACATTCTGACTTCCAACAATACAGTTAAAAGCCCCATTTACTGTATTGTGTCCTACGTTCACTCTTCGTTCTATATACTTCTCTACCACCTATTTCTAGTGTCTTAACATCCCTGATAAACACAAATCCAAAATATACATACACATGTACTTGCTCAAATAACTCCCCCTTATATTATGCTTGTTTCACTGATTACACGCGTTCACTTTCTCATCCCTTGCGCCAACCTATATAACGAATATATATTATA